ATCTGACCAGAAGGTTCTTTTTGTTCTTAGGCGGTATGTACTTCAGACGTTAGCTGCTGCTGCTGCTTCGTGGGCTCGTGGGTGCACCCCACGGCGCAGACACAGGATGAAAACACATCTAGGAGATGGTGGCTCTGGGGCACACAGCTGAGGCGCTGACCACACGGCCAGCTCTGGAAAGGGGAACAGGCTTCCTACAGTCGGAGGTGGGAGAGGCTTCAAGTTAGATGATGAATTTCTCCTGCTTCCCAGCACCCTGAATATCCACCTCTGGCTCTTCTGCAAATGAAGATTAATTTACAATTTACATGCACAAGCTGGGTTTACCGCTCCAGCACACAGCCATCTCGGCTTGCTTACACTGGATAGAAACAGTGCCACAAATGTCCGTATCGCTCAGGGTCCCCTCAGGAAAAAGATGGCACGTACAAACTGGGCAACTGAAGGATGATTTATACAGATTTGGACAGGGTACAGAGAGAGCGACAGGGAGGACAGTGAGTCACAGCCAGGAGCCCCAGGCTGAAGGCGTCAAGGGGAGTGGCTGGTTACCAGAACCCAGAGAGAGCAGCTTTAGGGAAAGGTCCCTCATAGGAGAGCTGGTGTTTAGGAGGGGGACACAGCCAACCCACGATTCCTTTGGCCTTGTGAGGCAGGTCACACAGATTAGCCTTCTGGGGAACACAGGCAGGTAGAGTAGGGTAGGGAACATGCCCGAGGGGAGACAGAAGATGCCCTGCAAGGTGTCCGACACCAACCTGGAGGACAGCTTCAACAACAACGAACAAACTAGCCCTCTGACACAGCCACACAACAGAAAACTGTGCCTTTCACAATTCCGGTCTGAATCCGGGTCTTAGGGATGTTGCCATGGTTAGATAACCACAAAATGCAGTAATTACGTAAGACACACAGATTAAAAATCGGTAAATACGCTAAGACCTCAAATTTGGATATAATGTTAACAGAGGTTAACCTGTAGAGAGATATAGGTGATTTTCCCGTTCCTAATCTATATATTTTTAAAGTTGTATTGATGGACAGCTTTCCAGTTTACCTTCTATTATGCCCTTATTCTATTAGGCATCATCAAGATAACAAGGAGTGCTTTGATTTTTGACTAGTGAACAGAGAAAGTATCTACTGAAGCTTGGATTTCGATCTCCTCTTAGGCAGAGATCTTTTCAAAGAAAACTCTATTATTTTTTGTTACTAAAAATCTAATGGAAACTAGGTAGAATGCTAGCGTCATAATGGATGCCATCTCAGAGTTTCACCTTAAACAGGCTAACTTTCCAAAGTCCTCTCATTCTGGGTAATCACCAAGGGCTGCACGAAGCACCTGTAAGGAGTGGTCTGTATTTGGAAAAAGTGACTCCCAATCTGCCAGCTGTGCAGGTCCCCCAGCTACAGACCATCAGCCCCAACAAGCAGCCTATAAGATAGCCACTGCCGGCCATGATACAGAAGAACACATTTGAAAAAGAAACAGTAGAGAGGGCTGCAGATTTCTCTCTAGCTTCTCCCCTCTCCGGGAGTTAGCAGGAAGGCTTATTAATTTCTCAAAGAACAATGGGGGGCTACTGCCCTACTTTCCCTGGCTGGGCAGGCTCTTCTGTGTCTGGGGTGGGCCAGAGTCATGCAGGACGACACCAGGTGAGGGGCTTGAACTCCACTGCTTCCCTGTCACCTCACCAGCACCAGACAAGCCCCACAAAGTTCTGCCTTTCTTAAGTTCTGAAGACACTCTGTGCCTCAGTTCCCATTCTCCAAAACTCCAAGCACAATAATAATAGGAATAGCTACCATTTACTCAATACCTTACGCATAGTAGGAACTGGGCTAGGCACTTAAACACATGTCTAACTGGTAAAAAACGCCTCTGAAACACAGACTTGACTGCCTGTTTCACAATTACAGAAATGACGCTGAGGTTTCCTGAGGCCGCTCATGGGACAAGGAAGAGTTGATGGTGGAGCCAGGGCTCAAGCTGGATCTGCTGACTCTGGAGCCTGAGCCTTGTGTATTACCCTGCACTGCCTTCTAGGAGCAGCCTGGCAGACTTGCAATCACAGCTGCCTGGGCCCCACACTGAGGAGCTGAGCTGGACCCAAGCTCCTTCAGAGCAGCTTTCCCCAGCCTCCTGGGGATCCAGTGGTGACAAAGAAATCAAGCACAAGATATGGCAAAGTAGCCTTCAGGCACCGGTCAGGGGTAGGGTGCGGAGCAGCCATTAACTAATGACTCGTTCTAGGAAAGTCTGCCAAAGGCCTGGGTCTAGGGCCAACCACTGGGGGAAACACTTCTGAAGTTTCTCTTTTGACAGAGATATCCACAAAAACCAAGTATAATATGACTCAAAAACAATGATGAAGGATTACGCATGAAGGGCCCTGTTAATATTCTCTATACAAGCAAATCTCGATCTTCTGAATTCCTTCCAGTAAGACCTCAGTTGCCTCAGGTTTTTGAATTTAAAGTGTAACAGTGCTTCCGGTTGTTCAGTCACAGTACAGACTGGCCCAGGACACCCAGACCTCACACAGTCCCAGGGTTCACAGTAGCCATCTGCAAGCTCTACCTGCAACAGAAATGTGAGCATATGAACCTCCTGTCCCTAATGGGCCAAGAGACAACCCCTGGATTAGCCCGAACAGCCAACTTCAATTAAGCTGGGCATGCTTCAGTGATTTCATGTTTCTCCTCCAGGAGGAAATGGTGGAGCCCATTAGACTGCCTGGCAATGCTGCGTGTTAACAGAGCATGGAAATCCTCTGGCCAATCACCCAGCACTATCGACCTCTTGGGTGAAAGGTATGCTCAGGAGATGGAGCCAAAAAGAAGAGGTAATTCATTAGACTGGTAAAGCTGTCTTCCAGCCCATTTGAAGGATTCTGAGATACTGCGTTGATATCAAACCAAATACTTCTCAGCCTCATGTTCAGTCCCCTCCCACTATGTGATCCCAATCTCACTCTCTACCCTTATTTCTTTTTAAGATTTTATTTTTTTAAGTAATCTCTACACCCAGTGTGGGGTTTGAACTTCAAACCCTGAGATCAAGAGTTGCATGCTCCACCAACTGAGCCAGCCAGGTGCCACCTACCCTTATTCCTTTTTTTTTTTTAAGTTTTTTTTTTTTAGATTTTTTTAATTTTAGATTTTTAATTTTTAATTTTTTAATTTTTTATTTTTCGACAGAGAGAGAGAGAGAGACAGAATACAAGCAGGGGGAGTGGGAGATGCAGGCTTCCCGCCGAGCAGGGAGCCCGATGTGGGACTCGATCCCAGGACCCTGGGATCACGACCTGAGCCGGAGGCAGACGCCTAACGACTGAGCCACCCAGGCGCCCACCTATGCTTATTCCTTAAGGTCGCCTATAGGAACTCTACTTTCTACAGACACCAAACAATATAAGCTTTCCCAGCTCCATGCCTTCACTCACGCGATTTTCTCCACCAGTGCCCTTTCTTCATTCCCCTAGCTTCAACCTGGTTTTCCCCCAAACACTTGGTTCTTTAATTCCAAGTCAAATTCCGTGTCTCTGAGATCTTTCCTGAAGCCCCTCCCACCCTCTGTCTCACCTCCTGTCCCCACCCTCCCCACCCCCACTGATGTTTTTCTCCAGCAGCCCCTCCTCCCATTTCAGAGCACACCGCACTTCTCCTACTCGGAAACTGCCTCATCCTATCCTTGACTATAAGTGAGTGAAGCTCTGTCTTGTCTGTTTTGAAAAACAAAGGCAGAGCACACATTCCTACAAACACACAGACTCTAGTGTGTAATCTCCCATGGGCCAGGAGCTCTGTCACTCAAACTGATTTCCCTTTAAGTGGTCTAGCGTCTAGTCCGGGCTCACCCAATCTTGGTTTCTGAACCAGTGAAAACTTTCTATTGCACAGGATTCCTCAGTCCCTGACTACACAGAGTCCTCAACCTCATCTTATCTGGAGATAAGAGTGCTGTCGGAATTGTCCCCACCCTGTTCCCACGCTGGGAATGGGATTCACTTTGGTTTATATAACTTTGCAGCTGCAACCTGAATAGATTTGGGTAGGGCATTTAGTCTACAGATTGCGCAAAGGGACGTGTCAGCTGCACTGTTCCCCTCCTCTTTGCGAGCTAAATTCATCTCTTGAAAATGTTCCTGGGAGACAGACCCAGTCCCCTTCAAAGGCAGCTCCCTCTCAGCAAGAAGCCTGCAAGGGTAGCACTTTAACATTCTCTGGGTGTTTACCAATCTTTGAGAAACACATTCTTGTGCCCAGTAAGACATGTCACAGGTCACTGAAAAATATTCAGGTACATATTTCTAACTATTCTATAACAGTGGTTATGGAAGTTAACCTGGGCCTCAGACTCCAAAATGTTTTCTCCTCACTAATCTCTCTTTGTTTTTCCAACCACCTAGCCCTCTGCCTCATCGACCCGGGAATGTGGGACGGGTAGAATGCTTCTGCTGGGAGAGGCGTTTGGTCTTCCAGGGGAATGCAGTAGGAATAATCACGGAGGAGCGGAGACTAGAAAAGCCCCCTCCTGATCCTCTTTCAGCAGCTTCTCCCAGAGCCCAACCCTCTCCCTGGCTCCTAGCTGACCCTGGGCCTTCCCTCTTCCTCCCCAAGACTCATACAAAGTTTTCTAGTTCTTCTTAAGCATCTTCAGGGTGAGCGTGACTGCCTGGATGGTGGCTAATGGGATCCAAATATTTCCAAACAGCATGTCATCTCTAGGAACTGCCTCTCCCTCAGACCCGCTCTGCTTGGGGCCGCCACCCTCCAGTTTAACCATGAATGGACCTATCCTTTGCCATCTGGGCAATAAGATCCCCTGCCTGGCAACTTGGGGCTTGCCTCGTCACGGCTGTCAGAGACACTCTGGTCACAGTGCAAAGGAACCAGGGCAATCCTGGCCCACACGTCCTCGTCCCGGGAGTCGGCACACAGGGGAGATGTGGTGGGCTGTGGCCAGCCCAGCTCCCTCTGACATCACGTGGCCTTACCTCATCCCACTCCGAGGCAAAGGAGGGCGACTTCTCCAGCCTCTTCTTTCCGATGCTGCAGTTGGACAAGGACTCGCTCCGGCTCCCCATTGTAGTGTCGTCCGTGGGTGAGCAGGTCAGGAGATCAGAGTCAGACTTGGACAAGCTGCGGCTGAGTTTGAGTTCAGCTTTGGGTTTGCTGGTGGGAGGGGCTCGGCTCCTAGCCCCACTCCGGTCTCTTTCTTCCTCGGCACCACCAGGGTGTTGAGATGCTGTGTGAGTCAAAGTTTCGGGGTGCGATTGGCTGTTGGTGGTGGGCAGGCCAGCCGGGTAACCCGCTCTCTTACTCTGGTCCAGGACACTGGGCGGGGAGGCTCCAGGAGCGCGCACAGCCGTCTCCTCCAGCTGCATGCTGGCCTCGTGACAGGCGCCCTGTGCGGGGGACCCTTCTGGAAGGCTCTGGCCAGTGGCAGAGAGCAGCTGGAAAGGGTCCTGCCCCACCTCACACACCGGGGAGGAGCCGTGGAGGAGACCGGAGAACTGCTCTGGGACCTGCCCGTCCTGCCCCTCCGCAGAGTCCTGGCTCCGGCTGCTGCTGCCCCGCCTGTGGTCTTGGAGTGGACGGAGAGACAGAGAAATAAAAAATTAAACGTGGCAAAAATCAACAGTTCCAACGCAGCGAGTGAACGGCAGGGCTGAGGAATTCAACAACAGGGAAAGAGAGAGAAGCTGGATGGGTTGGAGAGAGGGCAGAGGGAGAGAAGAAGAGAGTGGAAGGAAGAAAACAGTTTCGTATTGTTCTTAATGTTCAATTTGTACCCAAAGTCAGAGCATTTATGAAATTCCAAACACTGGCCTGATTAATGCTCTCTGGCAGCCTTCCCCGTTGTTAGGTTTCTGTTAACGTTAACGACCAGACCTTGCTATATAAGGCGAGAAGTGCTAACTAGATCCTACAGAAAGGACACGAGTAAGGAGACAGAGAGCAAACACGGAGTAAGAGTGAGAGTGAGAGAGAGAGAGAGAGAGAGAGAGAGAGCCAGCGAGCAGGCGAGACTCACTCCTGGAACATCTGATACATTTCCATAAAGGCCAAAGTGTTATTTAGAGCCACCCGCCCTCCCTTCCTCTGGCAAGCAGCAACAGAGGGGAAAAAAAATGGAGGTCATGATCCACAACCTGCAACTTCTGGAATTCTTTAACTGAACGTGCAAAACAAAACAGCAGAGAAATAACCGCTTCCTTCCTCACAGGGGGGCTGTTCAGGGTTCCACACCTCATCCTTCCTTCCTCAGGGAGCCCAGACCTTTTTTTTTTTTTTTTTTTTTTGAGAATGTGCACATCTCACTCCTTCCAAAGCCTCCCAGCTGCTCCTATTTGTTTAAGTTTAACCTCAGTTGATCCACTGAAAACAAAATGGTCTAATTTGTCAATGCCAAGAGACATTTGCAGTTCTCTCAAGACCTCAACAGCCCAGAAATCTGACACTACTAGCTCATGAGGCCAGCTACTACTGTATACTCACCCAAGATATCAAATACTTCTGCCCTGAAGTGGCATAAATAATTGACCAAATCAGAGTCCAACATCAGAATCACACTGGGACACCAAGGGGCTCGCCCTGCGTGAACTCAGACCCATTAGAGATTTTCACCCACATCAGCAGGGTAGATTAACCACCCTGCACCCAGTATTAGCTCACATTGCTAAGCTAATATTCAGTGTTATTTTCTCTATAAGTGGAATCAACGGTATAGATACCAAATGATTCCCTAGTCTGCCCAAAGCTCCCAAGTATTGTTCATGAGTTCAGAAAATCTTAGAACCCAAAGGATCAAGTTCAATTATTTTTACAGATCAGGAATCTAAGATCCTCGGGCCTTTAGTGGTATGTCCAAGGTGGCGGGGGAGAAGACTTTAACTCAGGCTTTCGGAACACCTGGCTCTGGTCCTGGCTGTGCTGCTCTCTAGCTGTGTGGCCTTGGCACTGATCTCATCCTGCTGGGCTTCAGTATCTAAAATAAGTAGGATGAACTGCACATAGGCTTTAAAGATCCCTTTTATGTTACAACCGTGGTAAGAATCCAAGTCTCTACCATACTGTGATGGCAAACTTCCCCCCCCAGGGGCTGCTGCAGATCCCTGTCTGGCTGCTTCTCCTGCTACTGCCTACATTGTACCCACTCTCCCTGACCAGAGTGCCTGCAGCCCAAGCCTCCTGGAAGCTCAGTTCTACAACTGAATAGGGTCGTCAGGGGAGGAGGGGTGCACTTTATAAACATGATGCACTACAACACAGTCTTCACTGCTCCATGCACAATGCCAAAGTCCTACAATGCTGGCTCTTCCAAGACAGCCTTTAAGGAAGGATCCCAACAACCAATTCTCATATTGCGCCCATCGCCCTGAGGTCTGAGCAGGGACATGGTTCCATTCACCCCACTTTCTCAAGAAGAATGGTGCAGTCTCCACAGTCTCTTCAGCTTTTGGCAAGCCTGCTGAGGCTGCAAGGGGGCAGCCAATTAGCTCCACTTTATGGCTCTGAATTCTTATCCACAGGAGTCCAGAAGTATGAACTTTGGCATCTCCTTCCTCTACACTTGACTGCTTCAGGATTTTCACACCCCTAACTCACAAACTCTATACCCCAAAGGTCAGGTCCAGAGCACTGAAAAGCACTGAACAACTGGAATCATTTCTCCAGGGAAGAAGAAATGCTGCGTACATAAGAGTTCCATCCAGCTTAACTCAGCCCCAGGGAGCCATGACTTCAGGACTATGAATTCCACATATGACAACTGGCTGCCCGAACAAAGCTGCCCTGTAGCGTCGCACGGTGGGGCCAGAGAAGATGACACATGACCATCACTTGTGGTTCAGACCAATGGCACTGCCTAGGAGAGGGTGACCAGGAGAGTCAAAATTGCTACCTCTCGAACCATACCCACATGGCCAATTTCCTATAGATTCTGGCCCAAGGTACAACATTCCTCTGACTGCATTTGAATACAAAAAGAGGACTTTGATAACAGGAACACGGGCTTCTATTCCTTTGTGTCAGCATCTGCCTCCTTATTTCACAATATTTTGGGGTGGGAGGGTAGTCCAACAACAAAAGAGAAACACCGGAGTCCAGAACTGGGAGTTAGCCTGGCTTACATTGCCTGGGTGGACCTCAGAACCCAGGCCACAGAGAATGTTCTGACTGCTGCTGTGGGAGCTGACAATGAAGGTCCTGTCTAACAGCCACCCATTCATGCTAGCCATCAATGAAGAAAGAGAGACAGATGCCAAGAGCTCAATACCAGAGAGATGCCGGGGGAAGGAAGTGGGCAGAAAGAAAGAATGGAAACTTATGGAAGGAGGAAATATGTGAAGAGGAAAAATTTCTGAGGGCCATAATCCTATGAGGGAAAACACAATCTACCAATACTTTATGGAGTAAAGTAAAGAAATTATGGAAAGGAATTCTTATGATTACATGACTTACCCAGGCAATTCCCTAGGAAAGACACCTTGGAATTTGAAAAGCTTGTCAAGATTGAAGATCCTCCCTCAGGATCTTAATGAGCTGGTGTTCTCTTCCCCATAAAAAACCATATCCAAGACTAAGCTCGATATCCTGGCAAATCAACAGGTAGGAAAAGAACTACTGACTGGTCCCTTCCTTCTGTAAAGTCAGGATAATATTAGGCCTCTCAGGGACAAGGTGGTAACAACATAATGTACTGATCATGAGCCAGATCTTGAGCAAATTACTTAACTTCTCTGTGCCCAGAATACTTGTCTGTAATTTTGGGATCATGATAGTACTGACTTCATAGGATTGCTGTAAGAATTATAGTGTCAAGCACTTAGAACCACCTGGCACATGCCGGCTCTCAAGAGATGTTAATAATTACTATTATTCTCCACATAGGATCCATTACAACGTACTTCGCTCACAGAAGAGCCCAACAACTAAGTCTGCTGCTCACAAGTTTGTCAAAAAGATCACCAAAGACAATGTACGAAGATCCATTGCTTTCATTATCCTTACAACCCTCGACAGCGGAAGGAAGGGACAGAAGGTAATACAGTGAGAAGGCTGAAGTGAGAAACGGGCCCCATGACTGTGGCTGTAAGTACCCATTCCATCAATAAGCATGTGAAAATGTCTGCCTTCATGGGGCACTCAAGAGATGAAGACACTGAGTTTCTCAGTGGGCTTACCAGCTATCAGAAGAAACTAGTATATACAGAAATGACTAGAATTCAAGACCAAAATTAATAGATGCTTTAAAAAAAAGGATAAACCAGGGGTGCCTGGGTGGCTCAGTCGTTAAGCGTCTGCCTTCGGCTCAGGTCATGATCCCGGGGTCCCGGGATCGAGCCCCATACAGGGCTCCCTGCTCAGCGGGAAGCCTGCTTCTCCCTCTCCCACTCCCCCTGCTTGGGTTCCCTCTCTCGCTGTGTCTCTCTCTGCCAAATAAATAAATAAAATCTAAAAAAAAAAAAAAAAGTATAAACCAAATGCTCAGTGAGCAGGAAGGAAAGTGTGATTACTTTGAAGCAGGATTCTCAGAAGAGGCAGCTTTTGAGCTGGGCACTGAAGGAGAAGTAAGGCCTTGACAGGCTTAAAGGTTAGTGGAAACACATTAGAAAAAGCAGAGCCACAAACCTCGTGCCTGGGCACTCATGGACTCTTGGACTCGCAGACGAGAACCGTCAGGCCTGAGGCCTTCCCTCTGACTGGGAATCACTGTGCTCCCACCTTAGAACTACACAGCTTCCAATCCTCCTCCCGCACTGTCCTCAGCAATCCTCACAACCTGCCCTCATAGGAGAGAAACAAGGGGCCAGGACACAGGGACAGCTGTTTCCTTACTCTCCCTGTAGATCAAGGCCAGCTGTTCGACCGAGTAGCATACAGCAGCATGCTAATTCCCAGCCCCTTGGACTTTCAATCTTTATTCACTCTGGGTGTTGTTCATTTTCTTTTACCCTGTGAGCTGCTGAAGCAAGGGGTCTTCTGTGCTGCATTTTAATGATGATGATGATCCACGGGGATCTCAAGGGCTTGTAAATAATAACACTTTAACATTTACACATTTTTAGTCACCCCCCTGTCTGTTTAGATTAGAGCTAAAAATTGCGGCTTATGTGAGAACTTGCTAAGTCAAATCAACCCTCCAACCCAGAGGTTACTCCAGTTACCCAGACTGTTCTGCTTGCTTTGTTCCGTTAGAACTGGAACCCTCCAACTGCCCAGTCACTGCAGTGAGCACCAGAAACTGGTGTGTCCAAGAGAACTCCTACGTACATGGCTACTTGTGGAGAGCCACCATGTTCTCCTCAGAAGGAAGGTGCTGACTAGGTTATGCAGACACTTGCTGGTGACTGTGATCTGATAAGACAAGTAGACCAAGAGTCCATTCTCTCTGGTCCATGGCAACCAGAGAAACAGAGACCTGGACTGGGATTTAGGAGGCCCAAGTTATAGTCCCAGCCCTGTGATTTTTTTTCTCTCTGGGTCTTTAAAAAAAAAAAAAGAAAGAGAAGAAAGAGAGAGAGAAAGAAAGAGAGAGAGAAAGAGAGAAAGAAAGAGAGAAAGAGAGAGAGAAAGAGAGAA